AGTATATATTTAATCAAAAAATTTTTTTAAATGTTTAAGTTTTGATTGTTATTTGGACTCAATACTAGATCTAAAATTACACTTCAGGAAATTTTTTTGAGTGACTGGCAACTATTAATATTTTGTGACATCATCATAATGTCATTTATCTTATACAGAAGTGCTTCCGTTACAAGCTATTGAGAACAATATTGATGATATTTGTCATTTTTCTTGCACTATTATGTTATCATCACTATTACTTTCAGTATCATATTTATTTTCATTTTTCTCTACTAAAGTATCACTCAAGTTGTCCCCCATACTATTGCCATATTCCTCAGAATTAACACCTTGTGAATTTTTTTCCTTCCTTTCTGTGTTTGAAGAGAACGCTGAAAGGAAAATGTTTTGCATTTGACAACTTAGCTTGCATAGCCATGATGACAACACTTTGCATGCTGTCAAAAGGAGGCTTTTGAGACACTTTTAATGCATGGGTACAATGCTAGCAAAAAAAAAGTGAGAAGTTTAAGAAAGAGTATGTTGAGGAAGACAAATGGCCAGAAGATTACAAAGATGACATTTGTGGTAAATTTTAACTCCTGTTCACAAATTAAATGATTACCTCTTGGATGTGCACTTAAGCTGTACACTGTAGCTATCTACTGTAAACAATGTAATTGATCACTTTTTTCCACTAAATCTGCTGAACTTTTCTGTGGCAACAATATATAATTGTACAATGAGATATTTTGAAATTATTGTACCAACCAATGCTAGTTTATACTATTGATGTCTCAGTAGCAGCACTATTGGAATGGAAAAGGTTAGCATTCTCTTCTACAAAGTATTGATTGCATGGGATTTGTCACTTGTAAATTGGTAGGAAGCAATATTAAATGATTACACCAGTTCATATTATTTCAAATCATTTATCATTAACAAATTATTTAAAATAATACTTTTACTAGGAAAATTTCATAATTTATATATTCAATAACAGAAATCAATTGCATCAGTTCATAAACAAAATTTACAGAATTTTAGAATTTAAATAAAGACTATTTCAACCACATGACCTAGTAAGCCTACTAAAACTAAGTTTGAAAGGTTAGCAATTCAATAGTTTTTAAAATTATGTATTATGAGATTTTTATGACATGAAGGTTTTTTTTATGATTCATTTTATACAGTAAAACATGGATTAGCAGAAACATTAATAATTGAAAAAAATTTAAAAAATTAAACATTGGTCTTTACTCTTCTTTCATTCTTTTATAAACAGAAGATTAATTAGATAACTTATATCAGGAATAAAAAAATAAATTTAAAAACTCATGCCAATATTTGTATAACTTATGGATACAAATTCACTGAGTTTGTATCCATAAGTTTGTATTTCAACTCGGTGAATTTGTATCCATAAGTTATACAAATATTGGCATGAGTTTTTAAATTTATTTTTTTACTTAAAGATGGAAACTGTGAAATCGCTTTTCTTTTTATATCAGGAATGACAGACCTTTTTGAGTCTGTGTTTATGCATGCCAAAGTTTGACTTTGAATAATAATTTTTAAAGAAATGAAATAAATATGCTTTAATTAGAATAAATTAAAAGAAATTACTTGAAGAGGATGATGATATACTGAACTGATTATAAAATCAAAATAAAAACTGAAATTAAGGTAAGCTCAAATTTCACAGTAAAAAATTAATGAAATGTTATGATATATTGTGTGTCAGATAGTTTCTCTCATTATATCACTTTGGGCATGGCATGTTATAGGTTTGCCTTCCCTGACCTATATTAATGATTACTTAATGTAATTGACTTACTCATTTTTAGGAACATAACTAAACTTTTGACAAATGCACAGTTACAAAATTGAACTACAGTAGAGCATCGATCATCCGAAAGAATTCCAGTCGGCAAATTTAAATTTTCGCCAGTGCTGTGGCGCTGCAATCTTTGGCTATAAAAGAATACAGACNAAGGGATCTAGTGCCACTATACTATCGCAAATGGCGCAAGTTGAAGGCTCAATCGTCAAATGGGACGAAGCAGAAATTATTAAATCGGTACATTCACCGACATTGGCGAATTGCGCAGAAAAAATTGAAATATATAAAAGCAAATTGCATGATTCATGCATCAATTCTAGAGATTCTGAAGGGTTGCCTTCGGCCTGGAAATACTTTATCAAACGATTGGACAAATCTTAATTTATTGCGGCGATTTTAATATTTTTTCGCATAAAGTGCATTTCACTGAATTTCTATATAACGTTTTAATATTTAGTTAACCTATGCTTATTTTTTCGTATACATTTTTTGTTATTTGTAACAATAATTTTTATTTATTTTATTAGTCTGTATACATTTATATATATATTTCGCTCGTTATTTTATTTTATTTGTATTTAAATTTTTGTTCTATTTTATTTATATTCGAATGTTCTTAGCCTGACGATGGCCAACTGATTTGGCTGAAAACGTTAGCTTTACATTAAATTTTTTCTCAGCAAATTAAGGTGTTTTGTTTTTTGATTTATATACTATTGCTGAGTGTGTGTACATCATCTTACATAGATGGAAAATTTTATGAAATGATATTAAGCATCACTTCTGACTTCGGTAACAGAAGATATGCTAATATTTTTTTTAATAGCCTTTCATAAGTTACACTGTTATCATAATTATTATCTTATATAACTTTTAACAAAATAACTAATTCATCATCATTTTATATATTACAAGATCATTTTGACACTTGATATTATGAAGTCTGTATTCAAAATTGTATAGAACCTGAATTACAATGTATTAATGATGTATTTTAGCTGTGATGATACCACTTTCATCAAGACACTAACCTTTCAATATATGATATGTATATTTTATAGCTCATATGAAGAGAGATGTGAATAAAGATCTATATATTAGGACACCAAGCAGTTACTAAAATATTTCAGTAATTAAACACACACACATTTTCTTAGTACATCAGGTATCAGTACTTCTGTCAGTAAACACAATCAAGCCAAATCAATACATCCAATAAAATATTTAGTAATTTACACATCATAATATCACTACAAACAGTATATGACCCATACTGAATTAAACTGTTTTCTGTACTATGACATTCCTTAGCACTATAGTACAGCTGTTAGAAATGTGAGAGTTGTACTGAATTTTTATTATATTAATGTCAATATTAACCTACCATCAGGTGTAGTATAAAACCATAAAGATGATGGTGCAATATATCAGAATGATCACTCTTTAATTTTTGATTATTAAGCAAATATTTCATGAATTCTTACAACATATTAGAAATATTATTTATGATGTATTTTTTAGTTTAAAATCATTATCATTTAGAAAACCAATAATAAAATACAAAGTAATCTTTATTGGTCTCATTCTACTCATATACTTTATTCTACTTTTTCATGGAAAAATAAAACACTATAAAATTGATTTATCTGTTTTTTCATATTACTCAAAGAATTTTCTGTTTAATAAACATTTATTATGCTTCATTATATAATATTTATACTGCATTTGTTCAGAAGTCTTCTATGTGCAATAAATAAATTGCTTTTTCACTTTTTTTTTATTTATTCAGGATTTTAATTCTAAAAAGTAGTTAATTTAAGTATTATTTCTTGAATTCACTGTACTTACCAAAACAACCAGATGATATTTTAAATTTTCAGTATATAGCAGGAAGAGGCACATGTCAAAATGATAAAATTAAATTAATAATGAAATATTGATATTTCTGATTTGTATATCCTTAAAATAGTATATCCGATGTATTGTAATGGATAGTATATCCGATAAAATAGGAATTAATGTTACAGTAGAACCCCTCTAGTCCGCCCTCGGCTAGTCCGTCACTCCAGTTAATCCGACCGTGGTCGGAGTCGAGAAACTTGTCCCAACTCGTCAGTAACTCACCATCCGTAGCGTTCTTCTGTGTTCGTTACAGTATATGTTTTACATTGTGTGTGTTTTCAACATGCCAGGAGTGAAACGTAAACAGGTTACTCTTTCATTAAATGAAAAATTAGCAGTGCGACAAAGACTGGACAGAGAGAATATTGTTTATTTTACTTTTTTCTGATAATCCGAACTTTTTTGCATTCCGACCATACCCCCAGTCCCAAAGGTGACGGATTAGAGGGGTTCTACTGTATTGAAGATTTTAGAAACAGTTGATCAAAAATGAGAACATTTTTGCTTTCTTACTTCTGATAAATTATATCCTAATTCTTAGATTATTTGAATAAAATTTTTAAGATATTAAACAAATGAATTTAATTACATCAACACACCTGAATTTTTTGCCAAGCATAAATTATTTTATTCTGAAACATTTTCAACCTACTTATTATAGGCGATCTTCAGGCTTACGATTGCAGTTCCAAAATGGAATGCAATGTTTTTTGAATACGTTTCATTTTAAATTTAAAAGATTTTTACAATAATTGTGTATATTAAATAAATGAAAAAATAAATCAATACAATAAATAAATAACAGTAAATGTACAAAAGCAGAAAATAACTTCATAAAATGAATTTATGAAGTTATTTTCTGGTTTTATAAATAAATCATATTAAAATTTATTTCTTTAGTATTAAACTTATTTAAATTAATCTTTTTTATAAATTTTAAAACATTGTAAATATATATAAATTATGAAAGATAAAATTTTTATTATATTCATAATCCCATATTTACTCCATTTTTTACCCATGTTTTTAATTTTTTTGGGGGGGAAAAATATTAATTAAACACTTTAATCTCCAAAGGTTCTATATAGTAAAAATTTAATTGAAACAATAATAACTTTTATATTAAACTGAAGTATTATTGATGATGATAAAATTTTCAAGAAATTAACAAAAAGATTAAATATTTTAAGCAATGAATTTTTTGTTTTTAATATTTATATTTATCATTATTTTACATTTTATTGAAATTATTATTATACTATTATTTGTATAGTCAACTGTTGAAGAACTTCAGAAAGTAGCCTTCCGATGCAAATTATTTAATGAACAAGCTCAGCATCTTGATAAGCGTTATCCTGATATGAAAGATGAAATTAATCGTAGACTGAATTTATTAAACAATAAATGGGAAGCAGTGGAACAAGCTGTTAATCCCCATAAACCTCAGCAAAATGAAGATGGCATTTCTCAAGGTAAGAATAATTTATTTCTAGTGTAAAAGAAATAAGAACACGTTTTCTTTCAAATGAAAAAAATTAAGGATTGTTTAAATTCATAGATTGTTTCAATAAATTTTCAATGCAAATGATACAATGGCTAATTTTCCTTTGCAGATAAAATCAATCAAATCTTAAATTTATGTTGTTCTTTAATTAAGTAGTTAAATGTTGAATAAAACAGCACAACATAATCACAAACCATTTTTTTAAAAATTTTTCTGTAAACCATTTAAGAAGTTTAATAGAAACATAACTTGTGTTCTATGTAAAATTGCCCTGATCCAAATTATACTTTTTTACAAAAAATTTCAAAATTCAAAAATAAAAAAAATTAATGAATGAACAAGGAAACAAAGTAAAATGGATGCCTGTTTTATTGCAGATATCATCATCATCATAGAGGGAAAAGAATAAACTACAAAATAAAGATTAGCTTAACACTTAGTTGAAACAATTACAATAAGAGTTAAAATTCTTAAATTTCTGTTTTGAGAAAAAACAAAAATAGTTTTATTACGCACAAGAGTAAATTCAATATATAAATAGAAAAAAATTCAAAGGAATTGTAATATAATTAGAAGTCTAATTGATAACTAAAATGAGCAGATTGAAAGATCTTATCAAATGAATTGTATGTTAAATACTGAAAGTTTTACTCTAAGATTTTTTTAATATATTAAAATCTATAAAAATATTGTGCCCAATTATAAATGTGGTAATAATAATAGTTAGTTTACAAGCTTGCTTTTAACATTTAGAGCAATGCAAATTATCCAATGAATAATTTCCCTCTGTAAATGGATTTTGATGATGATGATAATAATCAACTACAAAATTCTATATCCTTTTTAAAAAAACAATTAATTTGTTGACTGATTTAATTTTATATTAATTACCTAGAGAATATTGCATATTTTTTAATAGTAATCTTATAGCAAATGAGCAATAAAAATTTCATTCTTTGGAAATAATTATTAGTGGAAAGTAATGCATTACTAATTAAAGTTTGTATCAGGTTATATTTAATACAAATTTAAGGAACATTTAAGTTATTGACATGAATGTTGTTTATTAGATTATGTAATTATTGCACAAAAACTGATAAAGATGTAAAACTATACAGGAATGCTTATTATCCTAAGAAATTAAAATATATATATACACATTATATCATTAATCTTTTCAGCTGTAAGAATCTCATTTTAATTGAATCGTAAATAGCAAACAGATTGGACAGAATACTTTAAATAGAACATAAAAATTATGACAAAACATAAATATTGATTAGTTATTAATTGGCCTGATCAGGTTGAAAACATTAGTTAAAGTAGTAAAATATTCAATGAGTCTGAGTGTATATTGAAGTGTAAATTATTAATTTAAACAAAACGATTTGGGTGGAAGTAATGAAAAAGAAAATTGAAACTATTGTTATGAACTGAAGGGTGGATGAAGGTCAGTTTAGGCTGTGAGAGTTTGAATGTCAAGTTACAAAGGTAATTTGCTTGCCACTTCAAGGGTTGGAAAATATATTNAATTTATGTTGTTCTTTAATTAAGTAGTTAAATGTTGAATAAAACAGCACAACATAATCACAAACCATTTTTTTAAAAATTTTTCTGTAAACCATTTAAGAAGTTTAATAGAAACATAACTTGTGTTCTATGTAAAATTGCCCTGATCCAAATTATACTTTTTTACAAAAAATTTCAAAATTCAAAAATAAAAAAAATTAATGAATGAACAAGGAAACAAAGTAAAATGGATGCCTGTTTTATTGCAGATATCATCATCATCATAGAGGGAAAAGAATAAACTACAAAATAAAGATTAGCTTAACACTTAGTTGAAACAATTACAATAAGAGTTAAAATTCTTAAATTTCTGTTTTGAGAAAAAACAAAAATAGTTTTATTATGCACAAGAGTAAATTCAATATATAAATAGAAAAAAATTCAAAGGAATTGTAATATAATTAGAAGTCTAATTGATAACTAAAATGAGCAGATTGAAAGATCTTATCAAATGAATTGTATGTTAAATACTGAAAGTTTTACTCTAAGATTTTTTTAATATATTAAAATCTATAAAAATATTGTGCCCAATTATAAATGTGGTAATAATAATAGTTAGTTTACAAACTTGATTTTAACATTTAGAGCAATGCAAATTATCCAATGAATAATTTCTCTCTGTAAATGGATTTTGATGATGATGATGATGATAATCAACTACAAAATTCTATATCCTTTTTAAAAAACAGTTAATTTGTTGACTGATTTAATTTTATATTAATTACCTAGAGAATATAGCATATTTTTTAATAGTAATCTTATAGCAAATGAGCAAAAAAAATTTCATTCTTTGGAAATAATTATTAGTGGAAAGTAATGCATTACTAATTAAAGTTTGTATCAGGTTATATTTAATACAAATTTAAGGAACATTTAAGTTATTGACATGAATGTTGTTTATTAGATTATGTAATTATTGCACAAAAACTGATAAAGATGTAAAACTATACAGGAATGCTTATTATCCTAAGAAATTAAAATATATATATACACATTATATCATTAATCTTTTCAGCTGTAAGAATCTCATTTTAATTGAATCGTAAATAGCAAACAGATTGGACAGAATACTTTAAATAGAACATAAAAATTATGACAAAACATAAATGTTGATTAGTTATTAATTGGCCTGATCAGGTTGAAAACATTGGTTAAAGTAGTAAAATATTCAATGAGTCTGAGTGTATATTGAAGTGTAAATTATTAATTTAAACAAAACGATTTGGGTGGAAGTAATGAAAAAGAAAATTGAAACTATTGTTATGAACTGAAGGGTGGATGAAGGTCAGTTTAGGCTGTGAGAGTTTGAATGTCAAGTTACAAAGGTAATTTGCTTGCCACTTCAAGGGTTGGAAAATATATTTGATATTCTTGCATTTATAACATCATTTACAATCAAAGCAGCTAATAAAAATTGATATAATGATTTGTCTGCTTTGTAGTTATCAAGTAGGTGTAATTTTTCAAACATTTTTGCTTTTTTCAATAAATGATTTATTAAAGTGCCACAAAGCAGCTTAGACATAAGTTTTACCAAATATTATATCAAATTTCTTCTCACACTTTAAAGTGGCTACAGATCACCTTTGTAATATGACCTTTAAACTTTCACTGCATAAATGTTGTTGTCATAATCATTTTAAGTTTCTTTTCATTACTATCTTACTACAGTTCTTGTTTAATGAATGAATAACTCAGGAAGCATTTATGGTTGGTATCATAATCTTAATTCCAAGAATAATGCAGAAATTAACCAGATTAGTCTTTAACAGATAGTGTTGTTCAGCTTTTTTACAACCTTCCTTCCTCTCCTAGTCCTCTTTTTACCCAGTCTTTATTCAATGCCTATGGTCAAAATGCATTGTCTGAAAGAGTATTTGAATAGATTCTTTGTTTTTGTTTTAAAATATTTTATACAAAATTAACTGTTTCTGAATATTGAAAGTGGTACATTGTGTTTTTTGTAAGGTTGGTTATGGATGACAGCATCCACTATTTAGAGGTAACTATAATAGATGTCCTATTTAAAGGGTCTCGGGATTGTAAAAATATCCATTGGGTAGAGGTGTCTGTTAATGGAGGTTTCTCTTAAATGTATTAAATATTTTCTGCACAGTACATTCTCCATTATGAAACATTTGTTTTTTATTTTTATATGATTTTGCACTTATATATCATATTTTTCAATACTCTACAGCATGTTTCCTCACTTATGTATTATTCACTTTGAAATGGAAAAATTTTAAGCAACTATTGTGCTGTGCTGTACTTTGAGACTATATTCATTCTGAATGCAATTCAAAAGTGGTTTTTCTCAGGGCTGTGAAGTCAGAGTCATGAGGAAATTCTGGCCAGAGGAGTCAGAATCAGGAAAAAATGTATTGACTCTGACTCCTGCATTTTAAATTTACTTTAGTTTTTTTTTATTATTTATTTATTTATTTAAATAAAAGAAAATTTATTATATATTTATTAACTTTTAAAAATCTTTGTATTTTGTTATAATTTATTCATTTTAAATATAAAATGCATCAATTTAATTTATTAAATTCTTTGTAATATTTGTGTTTAGTAGTAAATTATTTTGACCCAATTGAATTAGAATATTTTTGAATTATTTCTTTATTATCCCTGCTCTAAATAAATACTCTATTTTTCTGAATCAGCCAGACTAATTAATCAGAGTACATATTTTTCTTTTCTGTACAAGGGGCTGAAGTATCTAGCTAGATTGCACACATTTTAGTTAGACTAACTCTTTTGAAAGGGTGAAATTGAAGTGCAAATGCTGTCAAATATATGTAGATGTAGAATTTTATCACCCTCTTTCTCCTCTTATTAACTATTTGTTAAAAATTAATTTTTATATACAAATAAATATTAATGTAAGTTAAATATTAAAAAATATTAACTATAAAACTATTTGGGTAAATAGCTCCTTTCAGAGTTTAGAATAGGGTACCCCTATGAGTGCCTTCACCCCCCTATAAAATGACTTTGTATTTAATTTTGTCGGAGTCGAGTATTTTTTACCGACTTTGCAGCCCTGGTTTTGCTTATATGCTTTCCTCACTTGTATATTATTTTTCTTGGTTTCTCTTGAAAAATGTATAAATGGAGTCTGTACTTCATGATATAAAAATTTGGAGTATATTCATTAATAAATCAAGAATATAAAGAAATGTCCTTATGAAAATCATCAGAAGTTTTAGTAATATAAAAGACTAAGCATTTCTTAATAGTTGAGTGGAGAATTAGAATCTTGGCTCATTGATATGGATTTTATAAAAGATGAATTGTAATTTAAAAAAATTATCATAATAAACATAATTAATTTATTCAAGATATTAGTTCACATAATTAACATAGTTCACACTTTTTAATTCATTAAATTAAATTTTTTAAAACATACAGATGATATAAAACAAATTTTTTTTTAATAAAGAGAATATTTTAATCTAACATTTTAAGATGTCTTCAATGATTTTCAAAAAATGAAAACTAGAATATTAAACGTACTTTGAACAGATTTAATTCTTAAGTTTGAAAAAAAAATTTGAATTTATTTAAAAAAATAGTGTAAAAGTGCTGTTCCTGCCTATTCAATAATGCAATTTATAAGGAAATTTAATAATTAAATCTATCTGTAAATCTAAGGAAAAAACCATTAACAATTTCTTTTTTAAGTGGTACAATGATAATCACAAAGATAAAATTTGTTTGATTTATGACCTCTTGACTTAGTCACCAAAACTGATAGCCCATTAAATCAAAGTTTTACTGTATAATTCATGCAATGGGAATGTCTGTTAAAGCCAAAAGTCTTATATAATAATGCAGGTTTTTCAAATGCACCATGTTAAACTAATTTGTGAATCTTTTATCTGATTTTACTTAGTTAGGTAGATAATTTTAATTACACAAAAATATATATGAGAAGTTTTCTATATTTAATATTGTCTATGTACTCACCATAGTTCTGAAACTCTAATAAACAAGTATGCTATCTAAATCAAATTAAACAAACAAACATTTTTGGCTAATATACTTCAATTGCATTTAACTAAAAAAAATAGTGTTCTTAATTAATTAAAAAGAAAACAAAATTTAAATATAAAGAACACAAAAAGTTTTATTTATTCATCTTCAAATGATGTATCGAGACACTCCCATTGTGGCATGAAGTTAAAAGCAGTGAATGCAGAGCAGAGCCCTTGTCAGCTTTTCTTTTAAGTACATGGAGTCAGAGAGTAAAATATTTTTAAACAAAATATTATGTACCAGTAAATAATACATATGTAATGTATTATTTTATACATTTTATTCCATACCATACCATAATTGGTTTATAAAATTATCAAGATCTCAAATTTTAAAAATAAAGTTTAGGAAAATTATTTATTTCTGTTGAAAAATATTTTATTACAAATTGTATGTTGTAAAATTTCCTTACATATTTTAATAATTTTATAGATAAAAATAATCTTACAGGAAAAATTTTTAAGTTTTGTAACTTTACTGTATATGTTTCAATTGTAATTAACTAGGTTGAAATTGACACAAATAATGGCTTTAGAACAGATATGAGGATTCTATATTCAGTTTAATTTCCTTTTGAAAATAGAATGAAAAAGTGAGGCAAATCAAATTGTTAATAATTCATTAATAACTTATTTGTATAACAGCACAGTTTTTCTGATTACCTAGAATTAATTTGTAAAATATTTTTATGATGATGATGATTTAAAAAGTTGACTTTGTGGATACTTATGATAAATATATTATTTTCAATTAAAAAAAAATTAAATTTGTTACAGAAGTTGGATATCAAATGAGATGTTTGAGAAAATGGTTACGTGAATTGGAAAATGATCTTAGTCCAATGACAATATCACCTGCTTGGACATTGCAAGATCTTGAAAACAAGTATAAAGAACAACTAGTGAGTACTTGCATTTTCTTTAATGAATTTAATTTAAAATTAATTATATCATGGGCCCATTCATCTCGTAAACCTAAAAAACTAGGAATTAGCCTGGAATTTTTTGGCACTGGAAAAAATCTGAAGTAGTCTGAAATTTCACTTTTTGACTGTGAGTTTTTTTTGTTAACAAGCATTGTTTAAATATACTTATGAGATCTGTCCACAGAATTCCTAAATCACTAGCAACTAAGTAGATGATGCTTATGTTGATTTTTAGCAGTAACTTTGGTAAATGACAGCAAAAACTGCAAGTTTGTATGTTGCTTAGTTTGTGTGAAATTTTGCACCAAACTTGGAAAATTTTCTATGGGGACATTTAAAATGTTGAAAACAGCATTTGAGACTGAGTCATTAGGCTAAACTCAAACTTACTAATGGTGGAAATGATCAGGGAAAAAACTTTGGAAATATTTGGAGAGAGAGTTGCTAGATGCTTCACCATGACAATGTGCTTGCCCAGACATAGCTATTAACTCATCACTTTTCAGCCACTTGGGACACAGGACAACTGTAATTCAACAACCTGTTTACTTGGTGGACTTTGTACCAGCAGACTTGTTTTTTATTTTCTAAATTAAAAATGACATTGAAAAACCAACATTATAAACAATGAAGGATTAAAAACAGTTAAAACAAATTTTATTACTTTTTGTTTACAGGTGTCCTTCGTATAACAGTAGTTACATTCTGAAAAAGTGCTGTGTTATGCAAATCCATTCTATATGAAACAAAAGACTAATACAAAACATATGGTTGGGTTTCCAGACATTTGCTCATGTCTGTTATTTGGCTAATATATACATATTTTTATTCTTAAAACTTTTGTATTATTGTATTGATAGTTTATATGAATAGTTTGTCTCATATTGAAGTTAAATGATAAATGGTAACAAGAATAAATCATTTTGCAATACACATTATTGTTTTAAACTTTCTTTAAAAGATCCATTTAGACTTAAGAAAAGTAATGCATTTATTTAAAGGTTAATCTTGGATAATGCAGAACCTTAGTTAATTGGGCTTGGATTATTGGGGTTTTACTATATTTGACAATAACACAAAATAAATTTTCATAAAAGCCAATTAGCCTAGTAGTCATTGTGATAGACTGCAGTTATAGGTATACAGTGAAAACTGCTTAGGCAACCACCTGCATTCAACAGGTGGTCGCCTAACCTGCATACCTGTCAAAATGGACAAAAATTTCTGGCACGGAATAGTTTATCCATAGAGTAATCGTATAAATTACCTGTATTAAACGACCACCTGTGTAACACAACCACAGGCATCGATTTTTGGTCCGAAACAACATACAACTGTAACAAGCGACCACTTCTGCGAATATATCTGATCTAAACTATTGTTCAACAATGTTTCCCCCCTCCTAATATAATGAATTAGTCTAAACTCTCATTCGAACCCACCTCGTCACTTCTCCTACCCTTGAAATTAGGTGCAGGTGTTAATGAATTAGTCTAGCAAAAGAAATTCATTTCAGTTTGTTTGAAATTGTCTGAAAAATGAATGAAATGCAAAGTGCTGTCATTAGAAGATCATGTTAAAGTTATCACAACAGCAATTAGCGGNCACTTCTCCTACCCTTGAAATTAGGTGCAGGTGTTAATGAATTAGTCTAGCAAAAGAAATTCATTTCAGTTTGTTTGAAATTGTCTGAAAAATGAAAGAAATGCAAAGTGCTGTCATTAGAAGATCATGTTAAAGTTATCACAACAGCAATTAGCGGCGAAGTTTAACTGTGGTGAAAACGAAATTTATTTTACCGTAGACCTACAGTATTTTCCTTGGAGATATATAATATTGTACAAGATACAATTAATCGGCTGATCTCATTGTTTGATAAAATTTATTTTTATTTCTTTATTTATTTATTTTGAAGCTCATATACAGTACACGTGCGATATATAGCTTCTGTATCAACCTATCTTATTTCCATGATACTTGTAGAAAAATAATATTGTACATGATACAATTAATCGGCTGATCTCATTGTTTGATAAAATTTATTTTTATTTCTTTATTTATTTATTTTGAAGCTCATATACAGTACTGTACTTGTGCAATAAATAGTTTATATATCAACCTACATTATTTCTAAGACATTTTTAGAAAAATAATATTCAAGTAATTTTCGCACACAAAATACTCAAAAAATAATAAACGCATTAATGCAAAAATTAGTTTTACAGGCAACCTTCTTTTTTCGATTCCGCAATGACAATCGCGGAATGTAATGAAATTGTATAATGAGAAAAAATAATAAAATCGTTTTATTAATTAATTAATAATTTTTCTTATTATACTTAAGAAAATATGTAAAAAATACAGTATTTTTAAAGTTAAAATAAGAATACACTAACGAATACCAAAACCAAAGTGATGTAGAGATATGATGCGCTTGTATATCCATGATGTAATACACGTAACTGAGGAGCGAACAAAAAAACCGAGTCAAATTAATTAAGTCAGAAAAAAGAAAGTGCACATTATAATCGAGAAAATGCAGCTATTGTATTAATCTTTAAAATATTGGTATTAAATCTGTCTTATAAAATCACAACTCCTGTAAATCGAGTTATCCGATAAGAATAAAATACAATACCAATATAGCTCTATTGTTGAAAAAATTCGTTTATTTTTGCTCACCTCAAGTTTTGCTTAGTAGAAATGGCTAAAAAGTGCGCAAAATACGTACGGAAATACGGTATTACAGCACCATCTATATTGGACGACCACCTGTCTAAAAGACCACTTTTTGAAGGAACCGTGCCATAGACAGGTTTTACTGTATTACAAATAAAAGTATTATCAATTTAATATCAGAGGAGTCTAATTTTTCCTTAATATTTAAAATCCAAACTAGTGAGAAATGAAAAAAACTAAGTGTCTTGAAATACCAGAAAAGAAACTAGGTACAGCAGTCAAAATGACTACTCTTGCAGTTACTAGAACTGCAAGAGTACATTTTGACTTCTGTACAGTTACAGTTAAATGATATTGTAATTCAAAACTTTCAAGTGAAAACATTGAAATTTAATTTTATCAGCAAGAAAAACTTTGATGAAACACCACAGTATTGGAACAGATTATTAAACCTAAATGACAGTGCACCTATCAAACATTGGCTTGCTGAACTCATCATTTCATTACCAGCAAATATCACTTATTTGTTTAACTTGGGTCACCAAGAAGAGCAAAAAAGCATATTTATGTTATATACAGTATATATATAGCGTTAAATAATAGCTTTAAGTTAATTGCTAAGTTAATCAGTTTTGCTGCATTGTTTTAACATTAGTCTCATTCTTGATTTATCTGTGTGTTAACTGAGCTAATCCATTATAGACTTTGTCTCATTTGTTTAATTTATAAGTTAAACAAACCAGGAGTCACCAAACTTTTTTCACAGTGTGTCACATAACTGAGAGAATGATGAGCACAGGCTGCATAACCATTTTGTTCAATATAGTATACTGAATACACAAAAAATAAAGAAAACCAGCATATTTATTTACCAATACACAAATACGATGGCTGCAGCAAGCTTGTAATTGCTTTTCATAGAAACTTCATTGCAGGTACTTGCATAAAAAGCGCACTGATATACAAAGTTGTGGAATTTTTCATTTCACTGATTTTCCTAAAACGTATATAATTGTCAAATGCAAAAATCAGATTGGATCAATTTTGACATTTGTACTTACACTTATTTTAATTTTTTCTATATAGTAAGTTCATCTGCAATCTATGATATTTCCATATAAATAATTATATTTTAGCTCATTTGTGTCACTGTGCGGCAGCGGGCCAGATGAATTGACCTCACAGGCCGGATCTGGCCTGCAGACCATAGTTTGGTGACCAAAGTTAAAACAAATGAAGTGATATTTGCTGGTAATGAAATGATGAGTTCATCAAGCCAATGTTTGATGGGTGGCCTGGTTTTAGTCTGATAGCACTGTCATTTAGGTTTAATAATCTGTTCCAATACTGTGGTGTTTCATCAAAGTTTTTTTTGCTGATAAAATTAAATTCCAATGTTTTCACTTGAAAGTTTTGAGTTACAGTATCATTTAACTGTAATTGTTTTTCTGTAATACAATCTCTTAATTTTTGCAAATTCCAAGTGCATGTTGAATAGTTCCTGAGTACCAGTTTTTACTTAGGATCCTTTAATTAAAAGCAATTTGTACCACACGTTTGCAAGATCATGGGAAAAATGAAAAAAATCTCAAAGTTCTATCATTAGGTCATTTCTAGTTTTAAGTGATCTTGCAAACCAGAGTTACTAAGAAAAAAACCAGATCTAGACTTTCCAAATTAGAGAATACTGAACTTAGTTTCTAAGTTAGGCTAGAGACACACTGCAATATTTTATCTTGGTGACATTTTCTTGCTTGCCTAGACACGTTGAATGACAAAATGCTTTTTTGCTCTTCCTAAGCACAGTGGGTCAAAACATTGCTGTTCATTTCCAAGACAGATCTTTTAGAGGTAGCAGCAATCTGTGTTTTGGAGATATGTTGTAGAAAACTAAAAAGAAAAAAAAGGATTAATTTTTTACATCCAATATTAGTTGACTCCATTAAAAGGAAAATTTGGGACTTTATACAAAGAGCTATGAACTTATCCTATAAAATGTTTTTTGTATTTCCAAATGAATGTCAATAGTTTTGACAAATTACTACATTTAATGGAGTCTTCTATAAAACACAGTTATTTTTGTGTTTTATAGAAGATAAAAATGTCATCATCAATAAAAACTTTGTCATTCATGGCAACTTTTATTGCATGTTTCATGGCATATGTGGTTCATGCCTTGAATGTAGGCTGTGCTTTAACACTTGGCACAGTGACAAAAAAATCACCTGTATGTACCCTCATATAAACACACAGGAAACAAGAATGTTTAATTGCCAAACTGTTGCTGGCCACCAGAA